TGTCCTCAGCTTTGGGAGTACAGGTACAGGGAAACAGGAAAGAGAATGAAGTCATTAAAGGATTCTGATTCTAGAGACTTAAACTTCAAGTTCTACTTTGAGGTTTTTTTGAGAAGGCAAATGATAAAAATCTCTCAATTAATTGTAGAAAAAAACCCCACATTCCTGCAAGTCCAAAAAGGTACACAAAATATGATATCCAAAAGCAAGTAATGCAGTTGCAGTTCATATTAGAGTTTGGAACAGCACGATCTTTCCATGCGCTCCAGGCAAAAAAAAAAAGTTTCTTAGATATACAAACAAAAACAGATGTGTTGATTTTTAGTGGCAGAGTGATTTATCTCTATATATGGTATCAGTACTAGAAAACTGTGTACAGATGACATCCACATTTTAATAAGACCAGATGTAGTTTGGAGAGCAGGGTAGCAGGAAGGAAACACTTAAAATTTTAAAAAGATATTCTAGAATTGATTTTTTACTTGGTAATAAAGGGCCTCAAACAATTGATTATAGTAAAATGAAAAGGCAATATGATTATGGAACAAAAGAACTTTCAGAGAAATGAAGCACCATGTAATTACAAAAACGAAAACCTATTAGCCTGGAGAGTGTCAGCAGAAAAAAACTAAACTCACCCAAAAATCTGATAACTAGCAGCTGAGGACAATTTTCATTTGGAGAGTGATTACCCACTGGAGCTGATGCCCTTTCTGCCGCAGGGCTGTTTTTCAGATCAAGAAGATGATCAAGAAGATATTTTTAGCCGAAGATACTAGAAAGATTATCCAATTCTTGGCAAAATTTACTCTCTTGCTTACTGGGGTTGTTCAGAGCAAACATTTCCATAGCCTTTTCCAGCTTTAAACTCTGTGAAGAGTTAGACCTTCCTCAAAACACATTGAGGTGAAGGCTCTTATTCAGTTTTTCACACGAACTCCTGCTATCCACTAAGGTATCTTGTAACAACAACTGTATTTTTAACAAGGTTGCTACTTCACAGCAGTAGAAGAGAAGAAATATGAGCACACACAACAAAGCTGTTAAACCCAGTGCTGAAGTGCAAGCTCAAGCAAAGTGAGCCATGTTCCAGCCGTGTCTGTAGGGCTGAGTGGTCAACTGATTAGGTAAGTCTGTTTGTAAACAGCTGGCAGTGATGTAACAGGGATTCTTCGTCCTATTCCATTCCAAGAAAAATGGACTACATTGAATGGGAATAAATCGCACACTGATAAAACACACCAGAAAACACTCATGAGGAAACTCATTATTGAAACCTTCAGCAGCAGGTTTGCTGTGCCTGCACAAAGCTATGTACTACTGCAGACACAGGGCAAAATAAAGGAAATCATTAAGACTACATATTTGAGATTGGAACTATGCAGACTTCCATCATGAAGCCTCCTTATAGGCTTAAAAGCTCTTTGCTAAGAAATTGAAGAGACAAATAAGAGGCAAGAAAGATCTATATTGCTGACAGCCACCTCCTGAACACCTACATTTGTCTACCAAAACTCATACATTTCTGTTTTCTGGGTACAACATATAGCATTCCTTTTTTTTTTTTTGCTCACCATAATTTTATAGTAACTATTTCTGACCTCAATTCTTCTACTTTTTGGCTGGGGTATGGGTTTTTATTTGGTTTTGGATCTTTTTCCAAGGAGAAATTTTGACATTTTTGTGCTTTTCATCATACATTTTGTTTTTCAAACACTATGAAATTACTCAGCAACATCTGTCAAGCCAAGGAATTAGCCTGAAAATACTTAAAAGAACATATAATTTTGCCTCCTATTCCTCTACAATACAACCAATATAACAATATAAACCTACTAGGCTGCTTTTCCTACTGGAAAGGGCACATGGGACAGAGCTATGTAGATGTGACCACTCTGTCCAGGCAGGCCTTGTGCTGAGCTTGGCAAAAGAGAACAGGGGATAAAATATACCTAGAAAAATGTCCACAAAAATCTAAAAAAATAATAAAAATAAACGAAGTTAACAGAAAGAAGTGAAAGAGTTTTTCTAATGCCATAGAGTAATTCAGTGGCTGAACAAGTAATAAACAAGTAATTGCAATACAGTTCTTCCCAAGTTCCCTCTATTGCCCTAACCACAAGATGTGCTGCTGCATACCAGTGATTATTCTATGAGATCAAGACTTGCCTGTGTCCTGATTCACTGTTTAGAAGCTGAAAACAGACAAACAGTTCAGAAGCGTAGTAAGAAATCAATGGATCACTGTTAATTTCCTTCCCAGCATCCATTGTTTGCCAGGAGATGCTTCCACACAGCATTTATGGGAGCTCTCTAACCAACAATGCAGCCCTTCTTAATCCCAGCAGTGACATACTTTTCCAAGTTCAATTTCCAAGAAGATACTTCAGCTGCTAAAGTTTTAAAATTTCTTAGCTCTTTGTCAAACTCTTTAAGGGGACTGGGGGAAAGAAAAGGTTGGTAGATTCAGCAGTGAAAATAAATTCCCCAAAGAAAAGGAGAAGTTTTAGCGATGAATAATAAGTGGGAAAAAGGTCAAAACATCAGTTGTGAAAACTCAGACTTCTAAAAAGGTTCCTACAAGGTCTCAAATTTATTTACAGACAATAACAAATCTATAATTATAAAAATGTTCTAAGATAGGTCAAGATAGCCTTTTCCCTGCAGATTAGTTATCTGAGGCACAAACAAGATAACAGTAACATTCCCAAAGTCTGACTTGCTGCAAAGCTGATAAAGCCACGTCACGTATTTTCTAGGCTTGATATGAAACTCATTCAAAACAGCAGGCTTTACTGATGCAAAATGCTTTAAACACCCTGCAGAGGAGCAAAGGGTTTGTGTCGGGTTTTTGGTTATTTTTTTATTGCAGTCATTTAGAAACAATGACAATCCTTTATCAGAAGCCCACTGTGGTATTACTGATATCAAAATTCAGTTCTCAACATATAACTACTGATTTTTACTCACCCTGGTTTTGCTTATCAATGTAAGTAATTTGTTCTTCTATGGCAAAGTAAAAAGTAAGAAAAATTTCTTCTTAGATAAAGAGCACATCAGCAAGTCCTAATAGTAATTACAGAAAGGTTATACTGCATAAAGAAATATTTTACAGTGTGCTTAATAGGTGTACAGAGTAACATGCAGCCAAACTAATTTAATGTAGAAATTTCTTTACTATTATCTACTGCAGCTAAGGTTAAAAACAGGTATTTTGAGGAAAGTGGTCAGAACTCCAAAAGACAAGAGCCTGTGCATTCAACTGGCTCAGTCATACTGTAGGCTGTACAGATGCTGTGTGACAAACCCTGTCAGAATTACATGATTTTCTCTTTAGACTGGAAACGTGTGGTCCTACATAGTAGGACTAAGGTTTGTGGTTTACTGATTGGAAAGATCTGCTGTGTCACTGTCTATATAAGCTGCACTGTGGCCAACCCTTGGCCAAAGGATAAATATATATGATTTCCTATTCTGCTAGGACATAGCCTCCTCTGACATGTACACTTGAAAGGCTAAACTAAACTAACTCACTTCATCTAAGCATCGATGCAATTTAGCAACATCTCAAATCTATAGCTGAAATTTCAGCTAAAATTTTTGTGTAGCACTGAGGAGCTTTAACCAGTGATTATTTTCAAGACAGTGGAGCAAGACCTGTAGAGAAAAAAAAATTAGCTCATGCACCGTCATGTGAATAATGAATTCCCTTATGTATCCCTAGGCACCCCCAGGTTAACAGTTAATGCAAGGAGTTTTGAAGAAATTCTGCAAGAAAATCTAACTTAAGCTAAATCTCAAAATATAAGAGGTGTCAGATATTGGACAGGATAGTCAAAGAAGAAAAATAATATTTTAGTAATTTGTCCTGAAAAGATAATATTTTTCTCTTAAAAATTTGTGCAGTCATATTTGTACATAATTTTCCCACAGAATCTGACGTAATCAGAACTTGCTGATAAGACTAAAAAGAAGCACAGCCCTTTACACTTATATCACATTTTCTTTTGGGTGAAAGCTGAAAAGGAATAGCTGTGTTATCTGCCAGTCTTCAAAAGCCTTCCAGAAAATGAACTTACTGCCCACACAGAGCAAGGAACAGAATCACTGGGTCTTGATTAACCAGTGGTTAAAATAAACAAATGGGAAGCACCATTCCAATAGCCACTTTTAAAGCCTGAAAACAAATAAATTGATAATTATAATAACTGCTGCTGGAAAAAGTCTGAGTGGTTATTACTTTATTCTTAAGCCAGGTACAGCCTCAGCTGGGAGGCAGCAAATTCAGGTATTTCAAAATGTACTTCTTCAAAACAGAAGGTAGTCTGTAGCATTTCTAAAAAAGCAAACAAAAGTTTAAAAAAACCCAGAACTATGCTAACAATGCATGTTAAAATTTAGTAGCTACTTTAAATTTTTAATTTGTAAATTTTTTCATAAAGCTTCATGAGATAAATGCTGGCATCCTATGTTTCATTTTGTTAAATTTAGAGTAACCAAAATAATTTTTTATCACTTGGTGATTGAAATATTTACCCCACATTAAACTCTTTTTTCTTCATGTTCCTTCTGTGTGAGAAAAAAAAAGGAAAAAAAAGCTAGAGGTGGGAAGTCTACATGGAGGAAGTTTGTCAGTGCTACAGCTTCAGTCAACTCAAAGACTTACAGTGTACAATACTTGAGAAGTTCTAGCTAACCACACTCTATCATAAATAATTCCTTTTTAATAATCATAAAATTTTTGCTGGGAAACTAGTGAAAAAATTATTGGAGACAGCATAGTTGACCATTGAGATAAAAAGCAATAGCTGCTCAGTCAAAGCAGTGTGGTTCCTTTAAAGAAAATCTGTTCCCTCCTTCAACAATTTGACTACACTAATAAGTTAACAGAATAGCCAATAATATGGTTTTATGTGCTTTTTTCACAAGGCATTGTGAAGAGCTGTCTCACAAATATTAACAAGGAAAATAAAAAGTTGTGAGCACACATACATGTAACCAGAGTTATCCACCTCTCTTCCTGCTAGGGAAGAACAATAGTACTGGAACAACCAATCTCCATTTATTAATTGTATTATTGATACATTTAATAGAGATTTGAAACCAGAAGAGAGTCAGGAAATGAAGGTGCTCTGCATAAATAAGCAAAGGAACTCTTTTTTTAAAGAGAATTAGAGGAATAAGGGGGATCAAGAGGAAAAGTATATGCTGTCTTGCCTTATATTGGAACACACTATCAATACTTAAAATTTTATTACAGAAAAAGGCACAGCATAATACTATTAAATAAATAATTTTAAAATATTATTTTTAAGAAGAACGTTAATGGACATCAAGTGTAAGTCAAGACCAAAGTCAAGACCAAATAACTTTGTTTGATATGCCAGTAAGAACTGTTAAGTCATGACCTTTTGTACAGGTATATTTGAGAAAGTAAATCTCTAAGAAAGTATTTCTAATATGCAAAACTATGCACTGTGGTTTGCAGAGCAGATGCTGGACTCCTCCCAGGATGTGGGAGCATTCCACACAGAGCCAGGGTGCTAGGAGTGATTATGGCAGAGCCAGAGCCTTCCTCCTGTTAGAAGAGGGTGGCTTTTTAGTTTGGGAAACTGTCACAACCAGCCAGTGGGAAACAAGGGAGCTGGAGATATTCCACTTAAGGTATAGCAAAAGTAGCTTTTTCACTGCAAGCTAGGGGGTTTTTGTTGGGTTTTGGTTTGCATTAATTCTAACAATGTCATCCAAAAACACCAATACTCAAGTTTAGCCTGTACCTATATTGCTGCATGAGCAGAAGTTGAACAGTAACAGAAGAACTTAACGTGAAAAAAAATGTTTCAAGTCCAAAGCTCATAATAAATTCTTAGCTTAGGCTTGAAGCTTCAGGGATCTGGGCAGGCACTTAAAAGCCACAAGCACACAGGTGGCCAAACAAACCCTGGCTGCTGCAGGGCTCCAAAGCCACCACTGAAGGTTTGGGGTTTCACTGCCTTCTCCTGGCGATCTGGAGCTTGAAGGGATATCAGAAGTAGCTGACATTGTGCAGTGAGGTGTGTGACAGACACAATCGATCATGGCAGGAACAAGAAGAACCCTGTATTTGCTCCCCACAAGTATCCCACAGGCAGAGGGTGGGGCTGACATTACAGCCTTTCCCAGCCTGAACACGGAGGAGCCAAAGGCAGACGGGCGCTTTAAATTCACGGCTCGGCGGTGAGGGTGCTTGCCTTAACAGTGCTGCGGCTTTACAGCACTACCTGAGTGCTGTGAAAAGAAAGGAGAAAGTTAAATGGAGGCTTTTAGAGTTCCCCAGTAGCTTCTGTCAGTCAAAACACAGCCACTCTTAATCCCAGTCCCAATAAACAGAGGAAACCATTCCCCTGAAATTCATGTGGCAAAGCAGCCTAAAGCAAAGGGCTCGGAGACCTCCTTGCTCCCGGGTCCTGGGGGATGCCAGCAGCTTTAGCAGTCAAGTCAGCTCATTAGAAAAGGCAGAAAACTAGTTCAAAGGTAAACAATGAAATAAAAGACAAATATTCTTCATGTGTCCAGATTCTAGTCAGCCCTTTAAAGAGGACTAGAATTCAGTGGGACAAAAGTTCTGGAAGCAGACTGGCTGACTAGGATTTTTTTCAACTGAAAGTTTTCCTAATTCCAGAGGTAAAGGCAGGATGAGACTTGGTATCCCAAGTGCAGACCATTTTTTCAAGGAAGGGGATGTATTTCAAGAATACCCACTGTTAAAGCACACTCATCAGGTCCCTGCTATGTGAGTTAGTGATTGGAGTTAGAAATTAGTGGTCAGAGCTTTGGCTGTCTCTTCCTGCTAGGGGTTCACATTTATTCACATTCAAATCAGGTCCTTGGTCCAAGTTTATATATCTAGAGAGTTTGTTTTAATAACACCTAGCAAATGGATACACCAACCCTTATTTAATATTGATAAAGGATTTAGCAATTCAAGCTTCATTGAGTTGAAGGTCACTGAAGAAAAATATTTTAGAGCTTGAAAATAATTATACAAGGCCATTTTCTTTTTCCCTTGATGGCTGAAACTTGTCTCACACCACTGATAAAATCCTGACTTAATGGGTGTTTAGCATCCTGTGACAAATAATACATACTTTTGATTCTTTTCCAAGCAAATAAGTAAACATCAGCACTGCATTGGGCCACTAAGCCTCACAGAAAGCACAAATAGCCTCCATAATGAAAGAAACAAAAATAGTACAAGTAAAGACAAACTATTCAAGGTATCACAGCATGAAAACATTTTGTGATTCCAGAAATGCCAGTATGGCAAGCTGTCATGTAATATTCTGTGCTCTTCAAAAACACAGAGGGGAGTCATCTTACCATTTTGAAACCGTTGCTAACAAAAATGCTTGGTTGAGAGCTGTCTTTCATGCCTGCACAGAAGAGAAAGCATAAAAAGCTGCATAACTGGGTGAGGAAATCAACAACAAAAAAACCCAAACAAAACCCTCAAAAACAAACAAACCCCCTCAAAGAGCCAAAACAAAGAAACCCAGCAACAACAACAAAAACCCACACAAGGGGGAGAACTACCATAATACATCTTGAATGGATGGGAAGGGGAAAGGCAGGAATTTGCATTTAGCCCCAGGATCAGCACAGAAGTAACAGAAATACACTTCATCTCTCTTAAGGGCAAGGAGGAAAGCCAGAGGAGCAGTGGAGTTCATGTTCTGGTCTCAGGTAGGCTCACCTACAGAACATTATGCCAATGCTTTAATCCAGACCAGGAGCAGTTCCTATCTTAAATATTGTTGGGACTGTTCTCACTTGTTTTTATTCACATCTCAGAGCATCCATAGCATGTGCTAAATAAATCTGTGCTCTTACTGCTGGTCTAGATGGCAAGACTATCATTTGCCTTAGGGAGAAAGAACCACAAAAATGTGTAGGATGGGGATACCAGATCCATTGATCCTTTTATAAAGAACTAAATCACTAACACAGATATAATCCTATTTGCCATCCACCCCTTGGGCTGGGCTGTTACTTCTCCAAACAAACATCCAAAACAATAAGCACCCAAACTATTACAGACTCAGAAAAGGAACAGAGAATTCAGTGATAAAGAATAACTCAGTAAGAAGTGAATTATTAGAGAAGCAGATTGAAAAGAATAAGGCTTTACTCCCAAATTTTGAAAATTACCAGAAGCTAAAAGTTTAAGACACCTGGGCAGGATATATTACTCTTTCAATTTCTCTTGAGTTCTGAGTGATTTTCAAGCTTTCAATGGAATATGCAAGTACCACAGAGCCATAGTAGTCCAATTAAAAATGCATTCTAGAACCCAAGGAGACTAAGCTCTATCTCTGGTAACTCAGTGGAATTTATTGGTCCTTGCAGACTGGCTGTTATTATGAGGAAAGGCAATTATTCATGTTAAAGTGTGAGTGTTTAATTTAAAAATGTCTCAATGTAACCCAAGTCCTCTGCTACCATACAGCCATCAAGCCATCCAGAAAGCAGATCTTTACGGGGTATAGCATGAACTATTTATTTATTGATCTTCTAGAGCCATTCTTTATGAAAGAATTGAAATCACTTTGCTATGATGCTGGAAGGAAAAAGAGAATATTTGAAGTGTACAAACAGTACAAGATAAAGGTATTTTAAAACAGAGAATAGAACCAAATCTGAACCCTGTTCAAACTGTCCAACTACAGCTGAAAATTAATTATGATTTTGGAAGTACTTCTGCAAATTGCTACTCCAGCTGACACCCGAGCCACAGTTAACCACAAATCAAAGCCAAACCACAACATTTTACTGGGGATATTAGTTGTCACTGTCAGTTCTTCTCAAAAGACATTTTAAAGAGAATCATAATTTGGGCAATAATTGCAGCACAGTCATATTTTCAGTTCATCAAGGAGAAAGTTTTAAAGTAAAGAAAGGATTTTATTTCTAATATATTGTTAAATTCTCTACTAAAAGTAGGCAATCTTAAGACAAGTGAAACATTTTGGTAACACTCAGTTTGCCAAGGGATGCCTGATATTTTTCTGCTAACACAATAAAAACCACAATACAGATAAGTGGTTGTGGGGTTTTTTTTCCTAGCTGCATGAATCCTCTTATCTCACCTCAAAACATCTGGCAAAATAGGGAAACAGATGCAGGATACCAACGTCTTCATGCAAGTCATTCATGACCTAGAAAGAAACAGCTGAAAAGCATGATCCTTTCTTGTGCTGTGCCTCCTTGGGGATGTTACTATTTGCCATCCCCATTTTGCTGTATTTTGATATAGACACAGTCAAAACACACGTGCTTACACCAGAGGCAAAATGACAAGCACACATAACATTGCACCAGTGGTAAAGCAGAACATGAGCTTTTTTCTGCACAGCCTTCAGTTGTGCTCTGGACCCCTCTGGTTGTCATTAATGAGGGACAATACCCTGCACCCCAACTTTCAGACCATAAAAACCAATTTGCATCTGTTCCTTTGGAAGTAATCTGTACATGACAGTGTTCTATTTCTTAAAATGGTAGACAATAACTCATTTCTAACATTTAAAGGGTTTTTTAAATGAATTCTCCTTTCCTCCGAACCCAAGACTGCAAAGATGAACACAGACTAGCAGCTGAACTCCTACTCACTGTCATGTCCTTGATTCAAAGTACATTAGCAACTAAGCAAAAACAAGCCAGACTGTCAGAAAAATGGTTCAACAATTTCATATGTTCAATAATTTCATCGGCACCACTAGAAGTGACAGCAAACAAACTGCATATTCCACATATGTAAAATAAATGCATAATTACTAGCTAAAATTTCAACCTTTTGAAACCTTGGAAAACATAGCTGGTTTGGGGACCCACAGACTCAACATGTATGATTTTAACTTAGGTTTTTCTGTGAAAATATTATCAAGTAACATCGGGTTTTTTTAGTACAAATGTCACTAACTCAGAAACAAAGTAACAAAACCAGCTCAGTTTGCTCAAGTAGCATCCCATTTTGCTACAGAACTGGATACATTCTTGTTGAATATAATTTTATTGTAGCATTTTTTAAATTAAAATCTTTAGAGTGAGAAAAAAAAAAATTGTGAATGCAATACATAACTGTGCTATTGACAAAGCTGAAATTTAGCAATGGCAGGAACACAGAGTACCTTTGACAGCACTGGTGTTCGTGCAATTGAGATGGAGCACCTTTCCTGAAAGATGTTTCACCTGAAGGCATGAAAGGCAACCAGCATTGGAGTAAACCATCAAGAAAAGATTTAAACTATGATTTTCTATACTTAGCTTTTATATTTCCCAGGGTAAAAAAGTGCAAGACCTTTTACTATGGTTTGTAAGGTGATAACTAAGATTCGACTGGGACATCCACCCATTCCTTCATGTCCTTATTCACCTAGCAATTCACTTCTGGCACTTGTAAGGAATGTCTCTGACAGTGCTGACTGGGATGAATGTTTTTGACTCAGGGACAGGGATGCTGTGGCAGAAACAGTGAGGTGGACACACACACATCAGCTGGAGAAGGTGTTTCTGTAGCTACACAGTCACATGCACACTCTGTAGCTGGCCCTGGCCTGCAGATTGGGCTGAGACAAGTGGGAGCAAACAAGGTGCAATCAATATTAAAGGTGGGAAAATATGCTTTTTTCACTTGTTCATCAATAAACATACTGTCTGTTCATTGGCTGTCTACATTTCTGAGCAAATATGACATTGCATAAGGTAGAAATATTGGAAAGTTAATTTTGGAGCAATTATACCCTTGCAGACTTCCTCAGCTTTCATTTTTATTTTTCATTCAACGAGTTATTAGTGTTAATGATACCGTTGGCTAATCCCATCCTCACAGGACCAGGTGGTACATGTTAACACTTCCAAATTAACAGCTGTGTTTCAGATGGAGACACTGGTAGGCTTGTTCAGCCCTTGTCTCACTGCATTGGGCAGGGTCAGGTCAGTACTCATGGGCTGGCACCAGTCTTAGCTTAAGAGGTTCATTGTAAGGGTCTGCAGTAGTGTTTAGGCCAACACAGAGAGTAAAAATAAAGTTTCAGGTTAGCAGGCAAGAAAAATTACCATAAGAATTCAAAATATTCCAGTTTTACACCAAGAAGAGTGGTATACTTTTCCCTAAGGCATGAGTGCCTTTACCCTTCTGGTTCACTTATTTACTGTAATCTTCAATATAACTGAATTTTTCTTATTCAGGATTGCATTGAAGAAGCAAAGAAAATGTCTCGCTACAAATTCCTGTTTTGCCTTCAGATGAATTAAACTGGGTAACATGAATAGGGACTTGAGTAGGGACAAGCAGTTTTATACCAAGAATTGTTTTTACACAGGCTTTAAAAGAGCACTTTTTTTCCTGTGAATATTTCCTATTTCTTGGTGAGTGACTGGAATGTAGTGCTTCTCCTAAACAAGACATACATGTGAGAGAATGATGTCTGTCAATTGTATTAATTGAGGTGAAAAACAACCCTGGATTAAAAATGAAGAGGACAGATTTTAATGTTTTGAAGTAGTTCTAGGGTTCCATTAGCAGTGCTAATTTATGCAATATCACTGTGACTTTTATCTATGATTGACAGATATATATATATGGAAAGGGTTCTCTAACTAGAATTTAGTCCATATTTGTCTGCACCAATATCACTGTTCTCATGAAACCATATACCAGGACTGATGTAGCAAATCTAACCCAAAACCTGTATAGCACATTTGTGTTATAAAAGCTGATGGTTTTAGGCCCTTGGTGGGACGGTAGCAGGGAACAGCCTCTTCCTGCACAGAGCTGTGAAAGCATCAGTACTTACTGCCACTCCACTGCCTGCCCCAGCCAGCCCAAAAGCTGATGGCCCTGGCAAACTCTGTGGGTGTGTGAGGTGTGCTGAGGCAAGAACTGAGCCCTTGTGTGGGACAGAGGTCCAAGTTGCAGAAAAAACCCCTTGTGTCTTCAGTCGTCTGCAGTTCATTCCTTTTATTTGAAGGATTGCCTGAAATCTGCTTGGAGAGTTTTCAAGTCTGATATAAACATTGTGCTGACTCAAAGTACCTAGGAAACAAACTTCCCTGCAACAGGGTTAGTGCCAATTAAGATTGGCAACTAATTCTAGCCTGCTCTAGAATTAACATGGCAGCTCAGCATGGATAAATATTTACACTCATGAACAAATAATTCATTCTGCTATCCAGACTAACAGAAAGTGGGGATAAAACAGAAAAAGCAAACCCACTGACAATACTGGGTATGTAAAGAAAGCATTAAGAAGAAATTAGTGAGAGTGCAGCACTGACACAGGGAGTAGCAGTATGCTCTGTGATGGCTGGGGTGCCAGCAGATTGCCATACCATGAATAAAATACTGCGTCCAGACCCCATCTGACTTCAGGACAAT